GTGAGTTACTGGTGTTGTAGCTCAGCTCAATTTTTGTGATTTTTGAAATCAGAGTGGAAGTAAACTTTAGACAGGATGACAGGTCTCACGGGTTTGAAACGAGCAGCTATCTAGCGCTTCTTTATAAAATTCGTTTTTTGTTTTGTCTGTTCTAACTTCTTCTAATACAGTATTAGCTGGTAACTTGAAAGGGGAGCGTACTTTAATAAAAATTCATCAACACGAATTATTTTAAGTGAATTGAGGATCACTTGTTAAGTTCTACAGATTACTCGGAGATATCAATGAAGTTTGACGCTTGGAGTACTCTTTTGAGCAAATAATGTTAGTACAACAATAGTATTGTAGTGAAATCAGCAAATTGGTTAAAAATTTTTCAAAAGACGTAGTTTAGAGAAATTTCTGTGAGATTACTGGAAACAATTTCAGGCAAGGGCTAAGAGTACCAAATCTAACGTAGATATGTAACGGTATCTTCATTAGTTGTTACGTCCGTTTTATCCTTTACATCTATTTAGAAGGAATTTTATGATCTTTTCTCACTTTTTAATTCTGTAAAGTAATTTCATTAATTGTTTGTGCTAGCTGAAGATGAAAGTGACTCAGATGGTTGGCATGTTGGTTTTGCTGTAGAAATGAACGGTGTTTACAGACATGAGGATAATGGTGAAGTTGGTAAGTAAGTCCTTTTCAACTCTTCTTTGCTCATTATTCTTTTGAAAAATCAGTCATTTCTCTGATATTTAGAACTTCCTTGGAAGATGGTTTTTAGATAGTTGGAGTGAAGGGGAATACAGTAGTGATACGGATGCTCCTAGTGAAAGGAATTACATGGGGTATGAAGCAATTAGGAGTGAGCCAGAAAGCGTCCGGCAAGAGGCTGTTTTTTCATTTCAACAACAAGATTCTGGAGCTTTCGATGGACTTCCATCTTCAGTAAAGCAGGAATTCGAGAAGGTATGGTAGTGACGGATGTTCCTTACATTTTTGTTTGCTTATTGGTTCCAAGCCTTATTTTCAAGAACTTTTATTAGAGTATAAAGCTGAACTGGCGTTCATTATTCAGCAATAAAAAAGTGATAAACTTTACCGTTGATGGCATTGCTGGAAATTCTCATATTACAGGCTTTGGAGACTTCAAATAAATTTATTGATGATGAATTGATATCAATACCACACCGCCCACAGCCAATAGAGCTAGACACTAGTTTGTAACTTTGTAGTATTTTTTTCACCTATAATCAAATACTTCAACGGTGACGTAACTGAAGAATAAATTTAGAACCTATAAATAACTTTATTTTTTCATTTCAGGCAAGATTGAAGAAATAAAGAAAATGATGTCTTCTTTTGTGTTGCCCTCCCCTTCTTGGGCGGAAAATATTAACGACGATGACTTTAAAAGAACATGTGAAAGTATAATTAGAAAAGACATCTCGTGAAGGTGTTGCGACGTTTAATTTCTTTCAAGCTGACGTTTAGAAAGCAAAATTTTTTTTTAGTTTTGTAAGGTAAGAAAATAAGCATTGTCAAATTAAATTTACTTCTGTTCAGGGCCTCTACTTTAAACTTCTTTGCTTAGTTCCTCTTTTTTGCTAAAGCAGTATAGCGTCCTCTTCATTTTTTTCGCTATCACCCATCTTTACAGCTCGGCAAAAAAGTAATTATAAAACTTTTTCATTGTAATGGCCAGACTGTTCTTGTAGCTTCAGAACAATGTTATTTCGGTTTATAATAGCTGCCGAAGTTATATTTAAAATTGCTTCTTTGCGTTATCCAGTTTAAGCACTTTTTTGGACAGATGCTCTGAAAGTTCTTTATTGTTTTTCGACCTTAGCACATCCAGATGTTTGAAGTTTAATTTTAGGTTTATTCTGAATTTCTTTAATAATGTTGCTGCTTTTAGCTTCACTGTAAGTCTCTGCTACACTTACTGATAATTATACTTGGATTTCTTACACGTAAGGTATTTGGAATTGAACATAGTATTAAATGATGAGTTGTCTTTGTAAATATTCAACCTCTGTACCCCTCCAGGTGGCGGCGAATAAACATTACTGGTCGTTTACCTATCTGCACAGTAAGTTCAATGCATTTGAATTGTACTGTTGTTTCGTTTCGTTACTTCAGTTTTGTCATAATTATTTCCTTTAATCTGCGTGGTCTTGCTTTCATTGTTAAAATAAACAGACCTTTCGTGTAAACAATATTGACTCGATGGCGTTTCACTTATCACCAAGTTGAAAGGCAGTAGATATTTGTTAGTCAGTTTTTTTCAGCACTGTGGTGTTTAATTAGAGTTATGGTTTGTTATAGTTTTCATATCTTTGCTGTATTCGCTGCTTTTTCATCAAATGGTCAAGTTCTTTGTCGAAGGAAAGAGTGTCCACGGTCGTATTGGTCAAGTTTTAAAGTGGGGTCAAACTGAGCTATTGTATCAGACACCCTCTTGCTTAATCTACTCTAGTGCTGGGCATATACCACATCTGACCTGGGAAGTGGTTAGTAAATGGCATAAATTTGCACAACGACCGATCTTCCAGCTAAATTTACCTTCGATGTAAGACAGTCTTCGAGCTAAGGCTTTATCAACGTTTTGAAGTTGAGGAAATCCACAGTCATAAAAAAACGGTCACTAGGTTTTGTGGTAAATGTATGGTTTCAGATATGAAGCGTTACCAGCAATTGAAAAGTTTGGAAAAGGCGTTGGAGACTTCTGTGGTATACCAGTGAGCAGTTATTTAGTATCATTTACTTCTTAGCTAATGTCATTTTTTTCCACAAGTGTTTAACGTTTAATAAAAGGTTTTTTCATTACGTTTTTTCGAAACTATCGGAGAAACTTCTGGAAAATTTTTTTTCACTATTCTTGAAGCTTTTTTGACTGGAACTTCTTTCTTTATTCTGTTTTTTTATCAGTTTTTAGTTCCCGTTAAAATTTTTACCGTTCCATTATGTTCAAATGGCTTGTTTACTGCACCTTCCAAATGTTTTGCTAATAGAAATTCATTGAAATTTTGAATTATTTCTCCAGGATTACGCAGTATGATAGTTCCTTCTTTAGGAGGGTTCAATAATTCATCTGTCTCTTTTCGACCCTCTTATTCAGTTAAGTAGCGAGTTTAATGACAAAAAATCCATTGCACTGTGGACTAAAGCTGGCCGGAGAAATGTTAGTTGCAGAGTAATCCATTGATAGGTTTTTGAGTCGTGAGACATATGTTACATGGATAATATTAAAATGAGACGAGTTTTTATAGTTCATCCATTATCTTTCAAATTAATTGCTTTTTATGTATTTTATTCAGTAATTGTGATTTTGGATGTTTTTATTAATATAATATAGATCAAGATTATCGGCCGCTACTGGGGACCTAAACTCTGTGCATAATTTACAGATAACAGTAAAAGATTACTGTGAAATAATTACAAGTTGCAAACCTGATTCCTATGAAACGCTACTGGATTATGACACCTTGCCGGGATGTTCAAACAAGAGAATTACCAAAGCAGTCAGTCGTACTATCGGATTTGTTAAAGAAATGGTTGAAGAAGGTTCTCTTCCTGACAAGGTTTACTTTTTGTTGCAACTGATGTCGCTCCAGTTGAGTTCATTGGTCGGCAGAAACTACGCTTTGGCTAGAGGTCGACCGTGATCACTTTTTATTCTTTTAGGGGTCAATGTTTGTAACACTAGGTGGAGGTCCCAGTGTTTATCATCGTACGGCTTTAGCAAAACAACTTGGCAATTCTGTGCCAGCGAGTGGCTTTGTTCTGGACTTATTTACCTTAATCCGAAATCGACAGCGCCCAGTTCGGCGCCCAATGAAAAGAACAAAGGATGACTCAGAAGAACAAATAAATCATGTAGCAAACAATGATGGCAGTCAAAGAGAGACTTACGACTCCTCTGACTTTTCAGCAAACCCTCATAACAAGTTCCATTTCGAATCAGATTTAGCTGAATATCTTATTAATCCCGTGGTAGTAAGTTTTAAGATTTTTATTCTCGTAGTTTTGCTTGTCTGATATCAGTGGATCCACATCACTTTTTCTTCTCCTTTAGAATGAGTTGCCAGCAGGCTTAATAAGATTTGCACCTGGACCGTTCTCACCTTCAGAAGTAACCGCTTTGATTCGACTCGGTGTGGACCTCTTTGATTCCTCTTTTGCTACGTTTTTGGCTGAAGAAGGGAAGTTGTTGAAACTGGGCGGTGATTTTCCAAACTCATCAAGTTATAGAATCTTGGACTTGAGTGATACGGAGTAGGTTCAGTTGTTTTTGGCCTTTTACTTCAGCTTTTCTAATCTATTAGACACTCTTACAGTACTTTATGTACTTAGGATTTCTTGAATCTTTGCTAAAAAGACCAATTTAGGAAGTTTGCTGACAAATTTGTTAAACCATTTGAAGATTGTGGCTGCTATACATGCACAAATTATACACTGGGCTACTTAAATCATCTTTACAATACAAAGGAATTGCTAGGCCCTATTCTAAACACACTGTTTGTTGTTTCCTGAACAATTACGATTTCATCTGGCTTTTCACAACATATTTCGATAGCTAGAAGTATTGTAAACAGTTAAAATTTTAA